AGCTCCATCTTGCCCGCTCGGGTAGCCAATCACAGCGCAGGATTTGATTCATCTTGCCCGCTCACGGAGCTAGCCATATAACAAAATGCAGAATGAATACCTGTAACACTGGAAAAATTGGTTTTATTTGTTACTGACATATAATTATGTGTACATCGGCTTCAATGATGAAAAACAGTAGGTCATTTACTACTATGGTCAAATGGAAAATTAATCTTAAATGTTTCTTACACATTTTGTTTGGCTCATTCTTATTACTCTTCAATGTTCAATGCATGCAAAAGACCTAAATCTTGTAAAATGATCAGCTGTTACATAATTCTCCCCTTGAATTACTGACAATGATCAACATACCAATCCTTTCATCCCAAGCCCATGTAAATTTGAACCCTGAACAACTGTGTGTTTGTGGGCTGAATTTCTAAAACAGTCTTCACTGACAGCTTAGCTTGTATCAGTAGCGTTTGCTAAATGCCATATAGTACATGAAAGTTGAATCATCAAAAGAAAATAAATGTAACTAGTATTTTCTAATCAAAGGCATTAAGCTCCTACAATATGGCAGAAAAAGAAACAGTTCCTTATACCCTTGTTGCTCTTAGTTATTTGGCATTCCACTACTGACAGCTTAGAGTTTGTTTTTTTTAGCAGAAATATTTTTGGTTGTAGTGTCTTCATTTGAAAACTGTATAATTAAGTGGACATGGGGGCATTCCCTGAGCATGTCTACTTAATACAGATTTGACTGCATGATCGTGAAATCACATACACTGCTTATCATTTGGCGTTGAAGCTAAATACTATGCATCATACCAATCCAATTTTCCATGAGAAACCAATCTCTATTTTCAGGCCAGAATAAAGATGATTATTGCCTGATGTGGTACTTACATGTACAAAGGTATTCAATAGACAAATATCTTCCATGTTGCCTAAAATAATACATCACAGATGATGTTAAAATGTGGTAAGAATGTACCACAGATGCATAGCAACATGGAATCTACAGACTACTTGTTTTATATAGTAAAGAAACAAAAAAGGGAATCCATGATGTCATCTGTGGGTCTGTCCTCCAAAGCACCATAAGTGGAAACCAATCAAAATGTGGGAATAATTTGACTTACTCTAATATTCCTGGTTTTAATCCAATGTTCAACATTCCTTGACTAATTCAATACGGTATTTAATATTCCTTGACAATTTAAGCCAGTATCAATATTGTAAAGTATTCACAAATACACTTCAAGCCCTGACAATTAGTATGGTATAAATAACACTTCCCATGGGTCTGAAAATGCCTGTGACTTAATTTTATTGCATTACACATTCTCTTTCTCCTAAAAGCAAAGTAATATACAAATTTCACAACTCGCTAACTATTCTATCAAATTTGTATAAACAAAATAACACTTATACAAAATTAATATTTTGGCATTCTATATGTACGGTGCAACTCATAACTAAAACCCAGATGATCCAAGGAATAAGCCATGAAAAATAATTAATTAAATAATGGATGCTCCCTCAACTGATGGCTAAAATGATCCAGAAATTATATCCGCAAGAACTAAATACAAAAGAAGGTCTAAATTTTGAAATTTACCATTGATAGTTTTTTTTAGTCTGTATTTACTTACCAAGTTATATAGAACAGATGATTTTGGACACCACACTTTATCAGTAAATTAATATACACCGTATCATAAGGAGAACAGTGACCATATTGGAATTTCACTAACAGACTTAGTTAAAGGAGAAAAAGTTTGAATAAATTTAATGAGATTTCCAATAATCATAGTTTATATGGAAGGAGATTTGTTTTCAACCAGCAGGTGATTGCCTTGCACATGCACATTTGAATCATGGCCTTGTAGATTTGACTTGGTGGTTTCTCTTTGAGTAGCATTGCTGCTTTTTTGCCCTCAGTTTGTCCCCACCCACCACCTCTCGGTTCCTGGGAGGTCCTGTGTTCAGATATTAAAGTTCTCTTTGTCATATTTATTCCCCACTGAGAGATCAGTGTGACAGATGCTGGGGGAGGGGGGATCAGCTTGTGGGAGGCTGCCATTGTTACCCCTTTACTCGCATTTTGTCCACATTCACTAGCTCATTGCCTGCATTGCTTCCAATTGGAACCTACTCTCCATTTGAAATATATTGCTTATCAACTTGACTTAGCCCTTCAATTCTAATTGGAATAAGGGGTATCAAAGATCTGAAAAAACAGTCACAGATGTAACCTATTTTGGCCAACAAAATTAAAGCAAAATATTTAATCGCAAATTAGGATAAATATTATTGTCTGATTTGATTTTCTTTATATATAATTAATGACTTGACAAGGAGAGTGTTTTTTTTAACTATATGTTTTAAACAGAAAGCTTACTACATATTTTAATTATGAGGAGCTTTATAGCAGGCATGCTGGAATATAACCAACAGACTTATTTCAGATTCTGTGCTACTCTTGGTAGTCCCTGGGAGTAGCAGAATTCAGTGCCACACTGAATCAATTTATGTACAAAGGACTGGAGACAGATTTCATTGGTCACCTCTGATCTAATGGGTTAACCACCACAATTTCAATCTGAAGAAATGCGTCAAGGAAAATATACATCATTCATTGCCACTGACAATAAAACAGGTCAAAACAAACCTTGTAACATTACTAAGAAAATAAACACCAATTACGTACATCTAAATTTCAGGAAAATATACTGCTGAAACAAGGCATCCTTGACTATGAACCAGAAGTCTGCCAGTGTCAAAAATCACCCTGTTATGTTTCACCCAGTGGTTTAATAAAAGATAATCACATGATGGCAAGTTCTTTGCTTAGTGGAATAAAGCCATTCCCAGCCAGCCATTAAGTATACAACCACAGTATAGCAGGCAGAAAGTTTTTGATGGGTTTTTGATAAGTTGGCTAACGATATACAGTAGTCTGATAGACAGCTACTTATTAAAGCAAAGTCTCATATTTTCAAGCAGGAAAAAGCAGCAGAAATCTGCCTGTTTCTGCCTTCTACAGTACTTGTACTCAAAACCCTGGCATGGATGGCATATCAAAAATAATAATTATTGAAAATTGAAACATTCATGGGGGAATTTTTTCTGGATTTTGGATAAGATAATGATAAAGCTTAGTTTCAAATTCTCATGTATATTCAGCTAAAGGAATTGTTTACAAAACTAAACCCTGCCCAGTATTACAAAGTACCTTCCCCAGTCCCATTTTGGAGCTGCATAAACCTTCTAAGACAAAAAAAGATAAGATTAACACCTTGGTAACAATTTCCCCTTGAACAGAAGCAGCAACTCAAAATTTAAAACATTTTCCATCAGGGAAATATATAGGGATAACTGAGAAATTTTCCAGGGAAATGGCAATTTTTTAATTTAAAACTTTCATTGAAAAATGGTTGAAGCTTTACTTTTATATTGAGATCCATGTTTTGATATGTTTGAAAACTGCAATGTTCATTATAGTTATATGTGCACGCAACTTAAAGGATACAACTCGAAGTCCTCTGTCCATGGGGTTAGTAATCATCAGTCCCCTTGGAACAAAGACACTCTGGTTCTGTTCATTTATATATTCTGCTAGCCTTTTTAGACACTGCAATAGAGCAGAAAAAGTCATTTTTAGGGCTAAATATTGAAGAATAGAATAGTTACTAAACACATACATGAAATAATAGTTACGAAGTAACAATTGTACCATAATAATTGCAAAAAAATTAGGACGATTTCAATTTCGGACAAAAGGTGTCCGAAATTCAAACTGTCTGAAATTTTTAAGTGTCCGAAATTTTAAGCGTCTGAAATATTCACAGTACAGTAAGCTCTTAGTTTCCTTTATGGAGCAAACTCTAGATGAGACACTGCTTGAGATTTGTAACCCCTTGATGTTTTTTTTATATTATTATTTTTTCCACATTTTTATTACTTTTGCTCACACACACACACAAAAAAATTTTTTTGCAAACACATAACTTTCATTAAAACTGTCCTATTAAAATAAGCGTAATACTTTACATGTAAGTAACTTATATTACTACAAAAATACCAACAACAACATAGGTAATTACAGTAACACTAGCACTAGTTACCTTTTATTTTTTTTGCAAATCTTAACATATATTCTAAGTGTTTCAATTTACAGTATTTCCCTTCAGTTATTGTTATTTAACATCTACATAGAGGAAGAGAAATAAGGAGAAGAAGAGGAACTTTGCATTGTAAAACATTAATTAATCTTTTCGATTTTATACTTGTATTTTATTTTATTGATAAAATCAATGATCTGTAGTGGTGGTGAGCTATTTTGGAGCTTACATTTATAAATATGATAGTGCAAGAAGAGAAGAGTATAATTCAATTTCTTTGTTCGTGTGTTTGATGCAGAGAAAAAGCCAAAGAGAACATCTTCATCATTTAGAATTAAATTAGAGCTATTATTTACATTAAACCATTGTAATACTTCTTGAGTAAAAGATTTTGTGAACTGGCACTCAATAAAGGTATGATCTATGGAGTCTGATTCCCCATAATAAACCCAATTGCTATCTGGTTTGATGTTAAATCGGAACAGTTCCTTCTTTGTGACAACAACTCTGTGAATGAATTTGAAGTGGAATTCTCTTAACTTGTTTTCCTTGAATACTTTTCGAACTGATCTAAATATCTTTCCCCAATTTGCTTTGCCTTCTGTAATAGCTTTGTTCCATTGGGCCTGCATGCTGATCATTATATTTCTAATGAATAATTAGCCAATGGAAGTCTTTTGACTTTGCCTTAAGCAAATTTATATTTACATTTTCAGTTAGAGGGAAGGATTCGGGGTCCTCATGACTAATACTTTCAGATGTTAAACCCTTGAATTTTACTTTTGTCAGGAGGTGGCCTGGAATAGCAGAAAAAACTTGCTAATAGTGAAGGAAGGAAGTTTTCTTCCACGAATATTTGTGCTGAGAGACTGGAAAGGGGAGGACTTCACAGTTCTCATCTAAATCCCTTGACACAAATTGTGTTATTTTCTTGTCCATGAATCTGTGAAACCATGAGGGTGCAGTAAAAGTATAATTTTCACAGATGCTGCTTCAGTCTAGTTTGTGCTTTGTAGGCAGAAACTTATTTTAGCTATGTTTGAACAGAGTCTCCGAAATTTTTGTCTGACATAAGATAAAAAGTGTCTGAAAAAACAACTGAAATTAAACCTCCAAAATTCTTTGTATGTAATGTATTAGGTCAAGGGTCACAGGGCTGTCATTATGTTGAGTCGCCTGTACCCTTGTTCTCCACACTGTAGCAAACTTGTTACCAGTACTCTGTGGGTGAATTCTTTCAACAACAGGCAATTTCACTTGTAACATCAAGGGAAAATCAAGCATACTCAGCTGTAACAGGTGTTAAGGGTTACAGCTCTTAATGACAGCCCTGAAGGGATATACATGTATGTAGCCTGCGAACGCAGACATATTTCCCGCTGTCGCTTGTCTCCACCGAAAATTACATCTGCCAACCCGAGACAGGAAACAATTTCTGTCACATAGGAATTTTAAGCCAATCACAGTTTAGCTCAAGTAGCCCCAGAACTAATGCGAAGTATTCGTTGCGAGGAGCACTTGAGTTTCATTCTATCATGGAATCTGATTGGTCACAGAGAAACAAAAGTCATTATGTCACAGAAATAATTTCCTGGCTTGGGTTTGCAGATGTTGTTTTCGGCAGAGACAAGTGACAACTGGAAATATGTCTGCGTTCGCAGGCTAGGATATATGGGTCGCCATTTGTAAATTTATTATTTAGACCGAATTCATGCCATTTTCCTCTTTCTAGATAATTGAAAATGTCAGAAAATTTGTTATAAATAAGACACAAGAACTTGTCCGTTGATATGTAAATAATTATACTAGGTACATCCTGATTTATAAATAATCTTTTACAATAGAGTTATTATATATAAACAATAAACTAAACAACTTCAATTATTTATAAATCAGGCCATCTCTAAAATAGTTATTTATTTATAAATAATGAACTTCACTGCGTGTGTAAATTCATTATTTACAAATAGTGAAGTTTCCTCTCGTGGAGTGTAAATTTATTAATTATAAATAATGAACTTCACTGAGTGAGTAAATTCATTACTTAGAAATAAGGAAGTTTCATCTCACCGAGTGTAAACTTAAAACATTGACGTCAGTTTTAATGCGTCTGTCCTCTTATTGATGATAAATTGCGTCATAACATTGTCAAAGTGACTGCGGAACCACTCGGTGACAGCTACTTTGTTAATGTTATGATGAAATTCATAATCAATAACAGGCCAGACATGTGAAAAACTGACGTCAATTTTTTAAACTGAAATGTACTGGCCCACTGGGCAACTGGATTTCAGATTTTTTTTCCTGCCCTGTTTTAGGCCATTAGAGGAAGTACCCCCGCCCCCTTCCTGAGGTAACACAAGGATTTTAAATAATGAAGAGGGGTCGTTTGTTACCCATAACCTTGAAGACCTGGTATTCGTATTTCACGCGTGGCTAATTTTTGTAATAATTTTTCTCAAACTTACCCAAAGTGGATAGAGAGAATCATAAAGGCAAAATGCAGACAACTGAATAATTAAAAATTGAACAATAGAGTGTGTTCATTGTCACCCCCCAAAAAATAAAAAAACTGTTTAGTGGATAAGGTCAAGAAATTGTGATATTATAGATGATAAATAAAGAAGACAGTTCTCCAAGTTTAGGGTGTATGCATTGTCCCAAAGTTGAGACATTTGTCGAAATGTTCCGCGTAAAATTATAGCGCCTAGTATGGAGCCATCATGTTGGTGGACCTCCTTAGTCCTCCAATATAGCAGCCAGAAAATAGTGTAAACATCTGGAGCTTACTTAAGTGGTTTCACAGTGAACTTTGACAATGTCATGACAAAATTTATCATCAATAAGAGGACAGACACAAAAAAACTGATATCTATTTGTTTTTTACAATAACAAGACCCCAAAATGGTCAAATGCCAGGAATAAATGAGGGGAAAGGACACCGTAAACNCGATAAATTAGACAGTTATGGTAAAATTATTATTTATATATAATGAACTTCACTGAGTGTGTAAATTCATCATTTAGTTGTGAAATTTAAGCCTGAAAAAAAATTCAGGCCTGAACGGGACTCGAACCCATGACCTCTGCGATAACAGTGCAGTCCTCTACCAACTGAGCTATCAAGCCAACTGGGAGCTGGTCACATTGTTAGTTTGTAATATAACCGTAGATGATTAAGAATACAAGTGAACATATGAAAGATCATATATTTGAACTGCAGGGAAAGATATGAAGACATGATTGATCATTGCAGTTACAAACACAACTTAAGCAGCTGTGAAATTTAAGCCTGAGAAAAAAAAACTCAGGCCCGAAAGGGAAATCTTTGAACCCATGGTCTCTGTGATAGTGGTGCAGTGCTCTACCAACTGAGCTATCAAGCCATCTGGGAACTGGTCAAAACTAACAATGAATTAAATATGTTGATCTTACCTTGTTATACTGAGTCTGCATACACATGAAAATCAGATAAGCTGTGACACAACCCAAGCAGCCTTCAAGATATGTGCGAGGACCAACTCTCTCAGCTTCATCAAAGATTCCATTGATGTGGTTTACTGTTTGCTCAAACTGACTACGCTCAAGCTTAAACAACAAATACATATCTTAGATCAGAGTTGATCCTTTAGAAATTACATGCTTCAGTAGCTTGCGAGTTCAACCAAAATGTATAATCAATCTGCAGTCAACTATGTTAGTGGATGTCACAGGTTCAGAGTAATGAAGTTTACTTAAACAAAATTCATCCAAAGGTTATGATTTTGATTTCAAACTAATTTGCTTGCTTGTTTTTTTGTCATGCTCAGGTGGTTGTCATCATGATTATACATGTAACTAGTAGCTGACATAGCAGTGTTGATCCAAACATTAAACTGGTTTTTGAACTTGTTAGTGCTACTGTAATTCTTCAAAATCATACAGCAAATGTTGTAGTTCATTATTGCCCTAAAATATTGTTTCAAGGTTCAAGATTACAACAGAATTCTCCTAACTTGATTTTTTAAACACCACTCCCAGAATATACCTATATCCATTCTATGGAAGGTCACTGAGAAGGAGTTGGATATTTGCAAGCATGGCTGAGGGGTTGAGCAAAGCTCTGCCATTAAACAACTACTGACCAACCAGTGGACAGAATGAGACTTGCATCTACCACTTCCACACTTCAGGTCTGGCCAAACCACTCCACCATGCTTGCATCATAGTGCAAGGCTCTCATTTGTGACAATCAAAGGGTTAATAGCTAACAAATGTAAAGGTAATCAAGTGTTTCCATGTTCACTGTCTTTGTTACAATTAAAAATGAAAACAATGAACTAACAGAATAAATTATAGGAGAGAAAGCATTTCTTATTCTAAGGGCACATTCTATACAAGAAAAAAAATTCAGATTGAATTTCCAAAAATATCCTTTGAAAAGTTGAACAGCATTTTCCAGTTTCCCGAAAAGAGGATGACTTTGCAAAGTATATCAAAATTTCGTTCCGGGAATATCTGTCCCATTTGACTTTCCTCCTGAATTTTCTGGAATTTTCGGTTGAATGGTTCTCTTTCCATTGGTCCCTGTTTCCATATTTTTTTGTTTTAATGGAAAGCTCCCTCAATTTTTCTTTCTTAAAAGACTCTTTCAGAAGATCACTGTTTACATAAGTGGGTAAACATACATGTAATCTAGCCAGGTTCATACATATAAACCATTGGCTTTAAAATTAAACCTTGTTTTCCTTACAAAGTTTCAAGAGAACGACCTTAACACAGAGAAAACGTGTTCTCAATTAGCTTTGGATACAAAACAGTTGTACTCTCGGCCTGGATTTAACATTAAAATCCCAAAACGAATGATCGATTGTAAAAATTATTGCAAAGGCGCGCGATCGATCGATCGATCAATAGTTTTGCAGACAATCATTAAAAAATACCGTACCAAGAGGAACCCTATCTCTTGGCCACGATTTTTTGTTACGAACAAACGCTATAGCGGAAAAGGAATTGATAAAACCCACCTTTCCTTCTAATTCGGGTGGGAACTTGTTTTGAAAGCGACACGCGGTTCCACGCGAGTAATCCCTTTGGACGAAAACTTTGACATTTCGTCTCGAAGCATCATCACTCTGAACCTAGAAAGTATAAATAAACCATTCGTTTGGACAAGAAATAACACAAATAACTCTTGCAACGGAGGATGTTATTCCTTTCAAATATTCGGGGCCAAAACAGATAAAGGAACGGTAATAAAGGTCACAGCCCAACCTGCGCGGCCGCCATATTGACTGCTTCTTGTCGACTGAGAACAACTCAGTTCCCAGATCTCTCGCAGCCAAAGCGATCCGCCGGCTCATTTTGTCCAAAAGGAAGCTGATCTCAGTTCAAATGTATGTTCAACAACTTATTGACTGTATTGATTCGCCTTGCCGTGGAGGAAGGATGATCTAAACAGCCATGCAAGTCCTCAAGGATAAACTTCACCGTGAGCAAAGTCCATTTTCTTGTTTACACCATTTTTTGAGTTCTATAGTGAATTATGTGTTCAATGCTACTGTTGTTTACTTTTCAGCAGGTCAAGAGCTCCGCTTTGTTACTGCTAATAAATTCACAGTCGAATTCGCTTGACACTCATAAATGGGGAGAACCAATTAAAGCGATACAACGATTTTCTTTTCAGTAGATAGGAACTAAAAGGGAGCTGAACTTGTAGAGAATGCGATCAAAATTCACAACCCGTGAAACTTACGCGCGATCAAGAATCTTACATACATGTTGGTATCATAACACCCGTTGGATAACGTACTTGTAAAACAAGATATTTTATACAGAAACTCTAATTTTAATACGGCAAGCTTTCTTTACATTGTATTTTATTAGTGGTGAATTTCCCTGAGACGTGGCAGTCTAAACAATCCGGCTGCACGCTGCAACTTGAAAGACTTCAGATGATGCCATACATCACGAAACAAATAAATCATTGATTTTATCCATGCCGCTATTTATAAATTATGTAAAGAAAGATATCCAGTAGTGATTGCAGCATGTAGCTGTGCATTTCGATTAAAACCCCCAAATTTTGTCAAGCGTTTAGCGACTGCGTGTTTGTTTAGGCGCAATGTTGCGTAAAACGAAGAACCATAAATTTTATCGAGTCGGAATACGAAGCAAATCGTGATTGCGAAATAGACAACCATCGGCAGATGGTAAACTTATCCACGTTTACTGTTCTGATTAAAAGCTTGGGTAAACGGTAAAGTCTTTCGTTTCGTAAGTAGCGAAAAGCAGATTTGGGATCTAAAAACATAATATTTGTTTTTTCAATGAAATATTCACCAAGTTTTTCAACGACATACCCATAGGAAGGACGCAGGATTAACTCAATCAAATCAATCAACGAAACTCATCGCGAAACACGTTTGTGCGAAATTTGACACGGTCGTAACATGCATTGCAAAGATCGGGGTGATAATGCTATTCATTCTTTATGTCAATCATTAACAGAATAGCACTCAGCAAACTTTATTGTTTTCTTGATTCTTCTAATGAAGCGTAGCGACAGTAAGTGATAAAATGTTTACAACTTCTCGGCAGTGTTGTGTAAGTTGTACAACTTAAACCCAGTTCTTCCTTTGTTTGCATTAAAGTATCACAGATCTTACAGATTCAAAAGAGAATTATTTCTGCCCGTTCGTTTTAACTTTATAACCTAGTTTACGAGAACTTCAAAATGATGAAATTCACAAAGATAGCTTAAGATGGACTGAATGGAATTCACATCATATAAAAGGTTGTTACAGTAATGTTGTAGGAAAAATTCAACGCAATGTTAGTCATTAGACTATTATAAATGTATAGTCGTTTCCGTCAAGAAAACAACACGTGTTTGCTTTCCTGAACGACGATGGAAAAGGTGACAATTTAATACAAGGGAGGTTGAAATATCCGGGAATGAAAAAGACAAATTGCCTTCATCTCGTGTGTTGTTCGTTATTTCAAAGCCGCTTGTCGCTGCATTTAAATTAATCAGAAACATTGATCAAGTACACTGTATGCTGTAAACAGTAAAGGAGATTTCGGAACTCATACGTTAACGACCGTATATTTGCATGATTGCATATAGCGAGCATTTTCAGTAAAACACAAGTAATATTTATTCTTTTATTGTTAGTCCAGTACAATCGAGAAACTGTTCAAATATCAAAACTGCGTTCATTGAAAACAAAACAAAGCGTGTAACTGTAAATCTGAAAAAGAGCAGCTTTGTTTAATGAGATGATAGAATTTTTGATCAGCTCGAATGCAAAACACTCAGTGAGGTCTACATAATGTATGCAGATCATACTGATACAGGCTTCAGAACAAAAAGAGTTGTAGAAAAGTGCAAGTTTGCGGCGCTACGGTCTAATACTAACTCGTATACCATACACCGTTAATTAATTGTAAAACATTGTGGCCCACAGCGCTTATAAAATGGATAATAAGATACTACTATTTCGCTGTTTTAATTGTTGAGGTCTTAGGTTTAATTGTAAAGAAAGCCGGGGGATTTTTAAATTTCTTTCTTAAAAAAATACAATAGGAAAGATCGTTTTTCATCGTTACTCTCGGAATTTTCCTCGTTCCATTTTCCCCGACCGCGGTAATCTCTTTTAAACCCTTCTTTTCCCGATCGATTCAATTGATTTGTCATTTTCTATAATCGTTTGTTCTCTTGCAGATATAGGGCATCATCATAGTGTAAAACATAGTCACAGCGACAAGCGAGATGGTTCCAAACACAAAGAAAAAGATGAAAAGCGAAAAGGTGAACACTTTATTTTCCGTACGTTATATGTATCAGTGTGTTACAGAAACACGCTGCTTGCAGCTTATTGAGTGACCAAATAAAAAAGGATCATTTTTTCTCGTTAGTCGAGCATTTTTGACGAAATCCAGGACTAAAAGAAGTGCTAGATTTGTTCTAGTCAACAATAAAATTAGATTCATCGTTAAAAGAGGTTAAAAGATTAACAAGCTCTATCCTGTATATAAGAACGCTAAAATGTATTTTTGGGTTGTGGTTACTCAGTAACCGAAAATGCTTTTAATTTTGGGAGAACTTTTTGTCGTTAACACTAATTTACATGTCGTCTTTGTTCTTATCAAAGGCTAAATCTCTCTAGGCGGTTAGTTTAAATCAACTTCACGTTGACAAAATAGGCGTTCTTTTCTCCCTCGCGAAAAAAAGAACACTGACCCAACCATTCGTCGAAAATGAAGGTAAATCTTTGATACCTGATTGCCTACATGCAGACGTCTTCTGATTTCTTTGTTTCGTTTATTTCACGTTAGTGATTATATATCCAATAATTTCAGCGCGAAAAACACTTCACGCGAGCGGTTGAACTTTGACGTCCATAAGTTGTTCCTTTTTTCGAGGTTAATATGCATTAGTGTATCTTATTATTTTTCAAATTGGGATATTAACAAGAGATTTTCGGAAATGAAAATGAGATAGAAATTTACCTTTTTCGTTTTCTGATTTCTCAGAAAATAAGCAGTGTATGATTAGGGTTGTTTGCTGTTTATATTCTTGTCTTTTTTGCGTCGCATTTGGACTGGCCACTAAAATCAATTGGAATTGTAGAGAATCATAGCCGGTATATTTTGGGCGGAAGGGTTCACGAGACATCGAATTTCCTTTGCAGAAGCTAACGATGTCTTAGTCACAACAAGAAAAGTTCTTTTAGAATGCTCCACAACGTGGGAAATTTGAAGCTTGGCGGCATGAAGAGCTGTTCTGCCATATTTGGAAATTATGTCCAAATCTGGAGAATACATATTTTCTTCATTTTGACGTCACACGTTCACCTTGAACGGCATCCATGTTGGATTTCCTTCGGTAACACCTATGTGAGGTTGCAATCTAGGGCCATCCTGGCCTTATAATTCAATTTAGCGTTTTCATAGTGAAAAATATACTTCTAGGATATCTATGTATTGTTGTTTGGATATATTTTGCCATTAAATGCGATGGCAAGTAAGTATCTGCGAGTGTGAAAATACGAAACTCTTCTCCGTCTCATAGTATCGTAGTACCAGAGAGATTTTCATTGGGATATTTTCTGTCTGCAGAAGATGGAGGAGAAGTGCAATGGTGCTTTTCACAGGTAAAAGGGACACTAGATGAGGACCTCACTGAAGGTAAAATTTTAAAATTCTTTAAGTCTTCAGGCAATTTACCGTAAATTATAAGCTAACAGAGGTTACGCTAATTGAAGCCGTTCTCATGTACAGATTTAGTTTTAAGCTTAAATTTGTTCATTTTGGATCATTTTACCTAGGACGTGGTTATAGTTATTGACATCTTTCTGATTTTCAGCTGATATAGTCTCTACTGTCGAATTTAACCATGATGGCGAGCTTCTTGCAACCGGCGACAAGGGAGGACGGATTGTGATCTTTCAGAAAGAAGAGGCGGTGAGTGGAACCAACGGTCATTTCTTGAAATTTCTCGAGGCGCTAATGAATATGGCATCTAATAGATTATTTGCATGATGTTTATTACAGCCGAAAGGATCTCAACATTATGGCGAGTACAACGTTTACAGCACTTTTCAAAGTCACGAACCGGAGTTCGATTATTTAAAGAGTTTGGAGATCGAAGAGAAGATAAATAAGATCAAATGGTTAAAGCGACGAAATGCATCGCACTTTTTGCTTTCTACCAATGGTGAGTTCATTAGTTAATTGTCTTACTTAACCCTTAAAAAATGCCCGTTTAAAACACGGTACGTAAAACGTTTTGATAAAATGATGTACGATCAAAAGTTTATAGATCTGTTTAGTATGTGTGACGATTGTCGTAGTTTCGGTTCTTATATTGTGTCTTGGCACAGACAATCGTTTTCTTTACGACTTCACTACGTGGGGTAAATGTTTTCTAGTTGTATCAAGATCTGACAGTGTTTACAATTGAATTGTGTTGAATTTCAATAGAATTATCACCTAAACTATTTGTATCTTCACTGTACCAAGAAACCTGTCAACACCTGTGAACCATCTACCCTGCAAAACATTTGTACAAGAGTCTTTTTGAATGATGACAGAATGAGTCAAGGAGCCTTACACATACTCCTTGCTTATGGCTTGAGACTAATGGTAATGATGTTCACACTTTTGGTTAGTGCAAGTATGAAGCAATATATGCAAGCACAATCCTTGAGATACACATGATAATCACCATTGCACGATGGGTGTCCAATATATCTCAGGGATCTGACAGCAAGTTTTGTTTATGATTGTATCATGCCGGTAAAACCAGCACAGTGGAAAAGAAAAATTTTCATTTTTCGTGTGATTGTTCTTATGCCACTTTGGCTCACATCTGGGCTTTTTGTATGTCTGCTTGTGAGTGTGAACTACATGAAGGAGTTGTGGGTATTAGTAGAGCTCATATTAATTTATAAAGCTAAACCACGGACTAAGAGTCTGACTTTTCACTGTGGCATGTCACTGTATGTTGTTTTTCATTACCACTCAGGTTCAAATGTTATGATGTCATTTCCATTTATCATTTCAATATTGCTGTGTCATTCTTCCCAGCACTTTCAGTGTGCTTGGTCATGTTTACATTTTGTTACTTGTTGCAATTTGGTAGTGTCATCAAAGTTAGAGTTGGAAATCAATTTCTTCCTGCAGGAGCCAACTGCCAACTAACAAAAAGAGCAATTCTGATTGGAATTAACTAAGACTCAGGCTCAGTCTCTTCAAGCACAGATACTGAAGAAGGCAGCATTTTTTGACTGACTAGTTTTGATTCCATAACACAAGATCACACGGCATTGACCAATTTAATACTTAATAATCATCTTTTACCAATAATTTTTTTTGATATATTTTTCAAGTGTTCATCTATGTGTGTTATATGTGATCTTTTTTTCTTATTTTTTGCAACAATTCAGCTATGTTAATCAGTTTTTTAAACCTTTTTTCTTTTTTTTGTTTAGTAAGGTAATTTCATACTCAATGTCATGTGTAACAATTTAGTGCTATTTGTTTATGAAAGACATCATTTGATTTTCTCTTTCTTTCAGATAAAACTGTGAAATTATGGAAAATTTCTGAAAGGTGCTATGCTCCATCGAACTTCAACCTTCGCGATGACCAAGGGGTACCAAGAAATCCTGAAGATGTAACAACATTACGTGTTCCTGTGTTTAAACCCTCTGAACTAGTTGTAGAGGCTAGCCCTAGAAGAGTGTATGCAAATGCACACACATACCATATCAATTCTATATCCTTAAATAGTGATGACGAAACATACTTGTCAGCAGATGATTTGAGGATAAACTTGTGGCATCTTGGGATCAATGATCAGAGTTACAGTATCCTTTTTGCATTATCCAGAATAATGATTTTAGAAAAGACATCTATATATAAGAAATTTGTTTACAGAGTTAAGATTTCTTGCTGAGTAATACATGGCTAATACTTATAACTTCGCCCCTTGAAGCTCCTTTTAATATCACCTTTCCTTAATTTCAGCATATTTCTCATTACATAATTTCAAACTCATAATATGGCACTTGTTAGACAAATGTCAGGATAAAAGTTAATGAATATTTCCCTTGTGTGATCAATGGTAGGTTCAAAGCACATGATTTGTCTCATTACATGAAGATGTAGTGAGGATTTCTGGTAACCTATCTTAAGATGGCTTACTACAGTTTTTCTGAGACTCGGTAGCATGCACTATGATTGAATGCTAGAAGTCAGTATTAGTCGAGCAGACAAAAATGACGCAAGTACATCTAAGAAGAAACAAACACAAGTTCAGCATTTATTTATTGCATTGTTAGTGCAGATTTAAGCTTAACTGTGTGATCAGATATTGTTGATATAAAACCAGCCAATATGGAGGAACTAACAGAAGTGATCACTGCTGCTGAGTTCCACCCTATAGAATGCAGTACATTTGCGTACAGTAGCAGTAAAGGAACTGTTAGGCTTTGTGACATGAGGCAATCAGCTTTATGTGACAGGCATTCTAAAAGTAAGTTCTAACACTACAGTAGACATCCATTATCCGTCCTTGTTGTGCCATCTAAGGCTTCCTAGTAGTAGGTGTCTGTTACTAAAGATGTGTACGAGTTCTGATTTTAGGTTTAGCTGAGAAAAGTCATCTTTCCACTAAGAAAGCTTTCAGGACAAGAAATACTTTCCAGTGGTTACCTTCAAAAACCAAAAAAAAAAAAAAAGAAAAAAAAAACAACCTATTCTTGTACTTGGAAGATGACATTTCCTCAATATCTATCAACTGTTGAAAAATTGATATTTAAGATAGCGTTTCTCGGCTTTGCATAACTGTCTTGAATTCTCCCAACTCCCCATTGTGTTTAGATGAGGCTATGTCAACACAGAAACAGTCCTCTCTTGCTTAAGTCTCACATTGAAGTTTAGTGAATACTGACCAAAATAATGTCACATTGTGTCCTCTACAAAGAGTCTGTTTCTTTGCATGCCTGATCATTGAGTTTAGATGTCACAGGGTCCGAAATTGCGCCTTCCTGGTCGCCAATGCAACTAAAAATTTTGCACTGGTGACCAGAATTTCGCAGCTGGTCGCCAGTGGGCGGTTAACTATTTCAAGCCACGATAATTACACAAACTTAGATTTTCAGCCAAATCGATTAAAATAAAATTCAAAGCCGCCCGCCAATTGGTCACTTACTTTTTACCTTCCCGCTGCTTTCGAAGTATAAAACCGAGTTTCCTGTTATTATAACTCTACCACAAGGTTCCACAGCTACAATCAGTGCAAAGCTTCGTCGCCATGTTTTTCCAACGGTTTCCCATAACATACGTATTGCGGGCACAGAAGGCCACATGCGTTCTTTCGCCAGGAATATTTATTCAGGCGATGTGGTGTCCAAAGACTGATGTCCTGAACTCTTTCCGTAATTTATTACAAAGTGGAGACGGAACATCCGCGAAGAAATTAGTGGAAGATTTCGATATTCAACATGGCGATCCATCGATCGTCTTGACAGAACGRGAAAGGAAAGATCGTTTTGCACATAGAGCAAAGAACCAAATGGCAGTTTTCAGTCGGGTACATTTCTTCTCCAAAAGGTAGAGACAAGAGAAGGTATAAAATTGACTTGAAACATTTGGCAGTCTCACGAAACTGCGTATATGGCCGGCTTTCGATTCGTTCGTCGTGGGTTTTCAGTGGTAGGTGTTTAAATAATCAGCGTGTTTGTATTTAATCTTATTGTTAGCGAAAAAATCGCCATCATTGCGACCCCAAATGCGTTCTCTTCGTTCCGATTCTTAAAAGAAATATTGGCGAGCAGAATTTTCCATCTGGCGACCAAAAATGTTGGTTTGTGTTTCGCTGCGAAGGAAAAATTTTATTGACACTTTTTGGCGACCACATTTTTCCATATGGCGACTGAAAGAAAAATTTCAGTCGCCAGTTGGCGCCTGCCTGAAAAAGTTAATTTCGGACCCTGTGTCAGTGTACTTATATAATAATTCTTGAGGTTATTTTTATCAGAAGAGGAGATAAAATGAAATTACAGTTGTAATTTGTGCAAGAACAAAGACCCTGATGAGCAGGAAAAAATATAATAACTCTTTCCCAATGACTGCCCCCTCCCCTTAAACCAAGCTCCGAAGTCATAGTTGATCTTGTATAGTGTTTTACTTAAGGTATTATGTTGTTGTTATCATGGTTCACATTATATTTTTACTTGCAGTGTTTGAAGAACCAGAGGATCCTGGTGCCCGATCATTTTTTTCAGAAATTATTTCATCTATATCAGATGTGCGATTTAGCCACAATGGCCGACACATGTTGACACGGGACTACTTGACAGTCAAGGTGTGGGATTTAAACATGGAAAACAAGCCAGTGGAGGTTTACAATGTACATGACTATCTTAGAAGCAAGCTATGTTCCCTGTATGAAAATGACTGCATCTTTGACAAGTTCGAATGTGTTTGGAATGGAAATGATGGGTAAGCTATTTGGTTGATATTGTTCATTGCCTTACAGTTGAAGGGGTGCATGGAGAAAGACCCTAAGTGACATCTGATAGACTGCAAGATTCTCATAGCAAATCGCTTTTCACTTCCTTGTACAGAAAAGGAGAATTTGACGTGAGATCAAGAGTCACTTAGGGTTCCCCTTCAGTTGTGGCCATCATATTAATTTTGTATTAATTAACTATGTAATTAGTTATATATTAATTCAGTTGCTTTGTTTGACACTGATCAATACTATTATCATTTGTCTGACCAAATGCTTAGTCAGTCAGTTAGCACAGTCACCTTATTTTTATGGCCAGATTTTCGTGGCATATTGGTGGCCTTTCAATAAGATGTATTTTTTATTTCTTCTTGTGTTAAGCACTTGTTGAATACACAAGGAACTAATTCTAGATTTGTCTGGTTCCTTTACAACTTTCACAAAGAAGTTGCAAAGGCAATTTGTATTACTTGTGTACTTGTAAATAGTTTTCCAAGGGTGCTAGAATAACAGGGTATTGAAACTTACTGAAACGAACTCTCGACCAGGTCATTGCAGCAATAATATTATTGTGTACCATGAAAATCAGTGACCGAACTATGGAATGGACTCAAATATTTGCACAGTGACCACTCCTTTCTTTCTTTTTCTGAAACGCCCACATTACTTACTTATATTGTTAGCAAAGTTCAAAGTAAAGGTGGGGAAAGAGAAAGAAGTGAACAAAAGTGTTAAAAGTAAATAACAATAATGCGAATGAGATTAAATTTCGATAAACATTTCAAAATAAAAATGAGCAATAGAAATTTTACACAATGTTTCGATGTCATCATGACATCATTATCAAGTGACAAGAAAATAACGGTTCAACAGTGTTATATATGCAGTGAGAGGTGTGATTGTTCATTAACATATTTGTTTAAACAAATAGTTTTGCACGGATGGAATCGGATTGCATGTTCAGGCTAGGTTTCTTCTTTGTAATAAACAGCATTTCGTAAATCAAACAATCCAGTTTTCCGTGGCATTTCTTTAGGACAGAAAAATTATTGGCAAGGTCGTTGATGTTATAAAGGCTGTGATCGTTCTTTAAATGCTTTCCAATTGCGGAGAACCTGTGTTCATCAATACGTTGGTGCAAATGCTGGCTGGTATACCCGACATACTCTGCATCGCACAGATCACATTGGTAATTGAACACTACGCATTGTTGATTAATTAGAGGTGGTTTTGGTTCACGCATCTTGAGATCTTCACAGATTTTGCGACTCTTGAATACTGGTTGAAGAGTGTGATCGATTTTCTTGCTCAGGTCAGATAGTTGTTTTTTCACTGCATCGGCTGACGTTTGATCTTTAAATGGCAATACCACTCGGTGAACAGTATCTTCGTTGACAGGTAGTTGAGGTGGCATGAGAGGATCTTTGGTCATCATTGAGGTGACCAAAGATCCTCAATTTTGATTGATTTTCGCAATAAGAAAGTAATAGTGGTGACATGAAAAAGTGTGCATACACAGAAAACATGCAATTGACAGCAATTGAGATAAGATGGACAATGTGCTTCAAGATACTGAAACTTGATGTGGGAATAAATTTTTGTTTATAATTTTTAGTGTTCCATCTAACAGCTGATTTCTTTGAATTTATTTCTCTTTCAGGTCTATAATGACTGGGTCCTACAATAATTTCTTTCACATATTTGACAGAAATGATAAGCAAGATATCTGTCTTGAGGCATCTCGAGAGTTCAGCAAGCCACGCCAGATCCTCAAGCCTCGCCGTGTAGCAGTTACAGGAAAACGAAAGAAAGATGATATTACAGTAGAATGCTTGGACTTTAGCCATAAGATACTCCATACTGCGTGGCATCCTCAAGAGAACATTATAGCAGTTGCAGCTACAAATAATTTGTACCTGTTCCAAGAGGCCCGAACATAACTCTTCAAACTGTTTATAGGATGCTTTTTTGTAATAATTACAGACAATTTTGAATTTAGGCTTAAAACTGAATTGAGGGTATTGCATTGTATGCGATGCCTTACGCAGCAACTCTTAGGTAATTGTCAATCATTAACATTTTGAGACTACCATTTTTTTTGTGGAATTTTTGAAAAAAATATTTATAACATCAAATTAACTTCCTCAACCTTTCATTTAAAGAGTCCTGTAGATTTGAGTTATCAGAACTGATTGGCAGTGCCATGTTATCTCTTTTAATTGCTACAGTACCAGTATTTTCCTATCCCTGTAAGAATCTGCTTTGACTAACATAACCCTTTCCTGATATTGAGCAATCACATATTGCTTTCTTTTGCATGGAGGTTGAGTGTATGCTTAAGCTTCACTTTCAGTGGTTCAGTTGCAACAGTTGATTGATACTCTGTAAATATAAGTAATGAACCTTAAGATGAAGATGCAAATTTTTGTAAAATTAGGGTATAAGGTACTTCTGTTGCAGCTAGCAAGACTGTTGCTTATTTTCAGCAAAAATCTTCTGAGATTTTGTTAAATTTAGGTAGTTTCAAATGCTAAAGTTTTTAATTTCTCAAACCAATAAGCAACCTCCTTATTTCCACTAATTAACAAATAAGCCCAGATCTTAACTGACAAGTACTCAAGTGTTGCCTTGTGTTCAAGATGTACTTTATTTCTTTCAAGAAAGGTACTGTGTTAAGCCATGTATTCCAATTAATTCCCCATTTCTAGACCTGCTTCCTCTATTTTCTGATACATTTGTTTAACTGTTTCTGTTGGTAACCTTGAACCATAACAAACATCTGCTCAGTAGCTGAGGTTGTGTAAAGAACAGAAAAATCACTTCATTTGAGGGTTTCTTTGATGTTGATGTTGATGTTTTCTACCAGCTTTTTCAAACTAACAAGTTTTAGTGTATCTATTAAATAGTTGTTTCTTATTTTCTTGACAAAAGAAAAGAAACTGTTCACCCTGTCTTCTTGAAAGTAAACTACTGTTTGTTTTTTTTTTTAGAGTTGGCGAGTGAGCTATTTAAATGGGAAAAGAAAGGAATATATTGATTTGTAACTGCTCACAATAAAAAAAACACTCTTGTTTGTAAATATCCGGAGCATCTTAACGCTTTCAAATGTCAGTTACAAAGGAGCAGTTAACACCTTGATTAAGGTAGCTTGCAACTGTTTCCAGCATTTTCCAGTGCTTTGATGGATCACCACTACCACTCAGTTTTAGTGGATCCTACAGTGATGACATCAAACAAATGCACAATCATGGGTCGAAAGGTTACCATAGCAACAACCTAACCCTTTGAGTTTGAAGTTCTTATGACTCTAGGAGAATAAGGCAGAAATGTCATGTAACTGTGGGTGCATTCCTTTGGGGTGATCTGGATCAGGATAAGTGATTCAAGTTCACTCGGATCATGGTGCATCAAAGAAACCGATGAATCCACTCTGATCATGGATTCATCGTTTGCTTTGATGAACTATGATCCGAGTGATCTGGATCACTGATCCTGATCCAGATCACCCCAAAGGAATGCACCCTGTGATAAAACTATTAGGGAGTAACTTTCACGGTTTTCAAAAAGAAATTGTGGGAGGGGGGCCCCTTGTTTTTGAAAACTTGAGATGGCTCTTAACTTGGCCTCACAAACTTTAGAAGTATGTTAAAAATCTTGACAGGATGATGGAAACTCTACTTTTTAAACAAAGTGCACACTTTGAACAGTGTATGTCGGAATAGATATGCGATGGGTACATGTTTAGGCATAGTGTCCGGGGGTTCAACGAGGGGAAAGTGCTGACTGGGAACGAGGTACTCTCTGGGGCAGGATGCTCGGGTGAATGTTTAGAAACTGGATAAAAGTGGGTGCAAGGATGCGGAGGGCTCAATAAAATATGGAGAAAAGGAAAACCAATGGTATGCCTTGCCGCGAAGGAAAGAAAAGTAAAGAACTCTACATGTGGATGATCTTCGCGTGCAATCTGCGAGTTGTTGGGTAGAACTTCTCAAATTCGGTGATAATTCATCAAGTTAATACAGAAAATCACAACCGTGAAGGAGATTTGGATACGCGGTCTTAATTAGCATAGATTTTTACGATTTTACTTATCCGGTTACTCTTACGTTTTTCTTTCGATTGAGAAAATATGTCGAACACTCGAGACTGTGTTTCATCGGTTATCCAAACACCGAATTTCGTCAAAAATACTCCGCGGCGCGTCGTATTTTCAACTCTCTTCTCGGTGTTTGGATATCCCGATGAAACAGCTGTCTCGTGTTTGAGATATTACATGAAGGTGCAGCAAATTTTTTTGACATTTCTTCTCCGTTAATAAGTTCAATGACAGCGTTAAATGTTTGAAAGATTCAGGTGGCAGCTGAAAGGTGCATGAAGCGCGCCCAAATGTGTCGAACCCATCTCTATCATAGAGAGCAAAACTCTTTCACGACAGAAGGTAAAGGATTTATCGCGTCGCCAGAAGTATACGATATTCAAAAGAACTTACCGAAAAACGACGTGAAATAAGAAAAATCCAAGGAAAATTCTGGAGTGGTCTGCAGACGCCCTCTGCAAACCTTGCAACCCCCTGCAAGAGGGACGATTTGGAACAAAATTACTGAGAGAACCTCTAAACAAACTCATCAACACCAACTTGTAGCAGACGCTTATCCTTGCTGGACATGTTCTGATTTTCCAAATGTACTTGTTCCATGTACTTGTTATCTGGCTTTGTTGGCAATTTTAAATCCTTATTTCCTTGCTTTTACGCGCACGTGAAGGTATTAGCGGAGCTCTTGCGGCCCGAAGGGTATACTCACGAAGAAGAAAAAAAGGAAAACCATGAATTGATTTTTTCGTGGTTATCATGGCTAATGGTATTTCTTGAGGGCGCGGACGCACGACGACGACAGAGTCGCGCAACATGGCGGCCATACCCTAGCTAATAGGTTGACCGCGATATACAGCCTTGGTTTAAAGAGTACATTTTTGATATTAAACATCCATGTTATGGTCAACTGACAGCTGTCAAATCAAGGTATCCGCTGACCAGTATCACGTGACCGTATTACGGGCTCAAGTTTAGAGCGCCGGCCTAGGAGCTCCGCTTTTAGGCTTGGCTAAATCTATATATTAATTTTTAAACTCTTTTGACCTTCTTTCTTAAATGACCCATTAGATCACTCTTATTGCTCACAGTAGCCCGGACATGGCATATACTCATCAAAAGTAACCAGATATTTACAACTGTTACATCTTAACTGATACGATCTCGATAAATGATCTCTCCAAACGAGATTTCCCTGTGTTTCCGCCGTTTTACCTTATGTCCAAGGAGTTTCGGAGTCTCTCCGCCGCTGCCTAGAACAACAAGGCATTCGC